GAAGCTCAGGATTTACTGAGAGTACGTACTCAGTGTACTTCAGTAAATTATTGAGAGTATTTTCACTGTTAGAGATTCAGCAGAGGAGACTGGTCCAGCTACTGCTTGGCTCATCTCTTCACTCATCGCCAGTTTAGCTCCGGAAAACTGGGACTGGCTTATATCGCTAGTCCTGGGGTAGGAGAAACAGGTGGAATATGTTCACAGAGTCAGTAGATTAATTAATGAATTATAATGTTTGTTCTATTTATAAAGGAGTCATTGATAGCTTTACCAATGACATAGTTATATACAACACTGGTGTCAGTGTGGCCAGCACTGGGAAGAGGCTGTTACTGCCTCATGAATCAGAACTGGTCATTGCACACGGTAAGAATTAATAGAAATATTAATGAAATTAATCATTATTGTTCTTTTCTTTCTTCTAGAAATTGGTGGGTTTTCAATCCTTCCTTGTCTTCAAAATGTATCACTTTTACCCCCTCTCCCTCTCTCTCCCTCCCCCTCCCCCTCTGTAGGTCACAGTTGGGGTAGCCCCCATGATCCTGGTACTGATACTAACTGTAGGTTGAGGTATTTAATGAATGAGTTTATACAAGACAACAGTGAAGGGACACACCAGGTAAGAGAGAGAGAGGGAGGGAGGAGAAAAAGGCATTTTGTTATAAATGATGTATACCTTTATGTACATAACAGCTCACTGTAATTATTGAATCTTTCAAATAGGAATTCTCTCCTTGCAGCAGGATCAGTATTGGTAGAGTATTAGCTAACAAGGCAACCTGTTTTCAAGGCAAGTAACTCATTAATGCTTTATTTAATGTTTAATGTACGTGTATTGTTCTTTGGTTCTGAAGGTCGCTCTAATTCAAATTGTGGTAATTACATGATAGATGATGATGAGGAGTGTGATGGAGGTAGACTGACTGTAGATGATCAGGACAGCTGCTGTGCCTCTAACTGTAAATTAAGGAAAGGAAGCAACTGCAGGTATCTAGTCTACATGTACTTGTTGAATAACTCTTTGTGTCATTCAGTATAACCTTAATCATTATTACTTA